TCTTCTCCAGCCCTTGCCCTGGGGCAGTCCTCCGGCGGTCAAGCTGCGCGCCTTTATTTATTTATTTATTTATTTGTTTGTTTATTTATTTATTTATTTTTCTGCGTCAGTTTCTCTGCCTGTGCAATGGGTTTGAACAAAACCTGAACAGGACGGTTTCAGAGGGAGAGCAGCTGACATTGGGTGGAGCCAATTCAAAGAGCACGCCCCTGAACCTCAGGCCTCTCGAGGTCGCAGGGCCCTGGACCTGCTGGCAGGCGGGGAAGAGGAGGGCCGGCGGGAGCACTACACGAGGAGTCAGAGGGAGCACTGCTCGAGGAGCTGGAGGGAGCACTGCGCGAGGAGTCAGAGGGGAGCCGGCAGGAGCACTGCGCGGAGTTGGAGGGGGTCCGGCGGGAGCACCGGGCGAGGAGTCGGAGGGGCTCTCTGAGCTGCTGCGGGCGCCGCGACTCAGTGACTAGCGGGGCCACGTCCCCCGCAGGTCCTCCGGTGTGTGCCCGCAGCGTGAAGAATCATTGTGGGGCGGGGGAGGGGGAGATGCAGCTGCCGCTGCCCCACGCCTAACTCGGGCTCCCGCATTGAGCGCTGCTGGAGCGGAGCGCTTCCGGCCGCCCCCCTCCCCAATCCTGAGCCCCCTCCCCTCCGCAGGCCGCTGGCGCCCAGCGCACCCAGCCCGGCCCTTTGTGCAGGGGCCTAAGTGGCTGCACGCCCCCCGCCCCCAGAGGCCCTGCGAGACCCGGCTGCAGTGAGGCTGATGAATGGGGGAGGCCCGGGGTTAGGGCCCCGCACAGCTGCTGGGAGGCGTGGAGCGCGCACCCAGTCCTCCCAGCGCTCCCAGCCCTCCCCTCCTCTCCAGCTCGCCCCCTCTGCGTGGGCTCTGGGATTAAATCCCCACAGCCGCGGGGCTCTCGGATGCGGCCGGCTGCCCCCCGCGCCCCCCTCCCCCCCGCAGAAGCAGGGTTCCCAAGAGGCCGGTCAGCCCTGGGGTGCCCTAAAGAGAGTGTCCACTACCCAGCCCCAGGGGAGGCAGGGGTGGTGAGCGCCGGGTCTCCTGGTTCCTGTGGGCCCGGGCATCTGAAATTGTGCCCCAGGGAGCTTTAGAAGCTTTTGGGGAGGGATCCTGGGTGGCACAGCGGTTTAGCGCCTGCCTTTGGCCCAGGGCACGATCCTGGAGACCCGGGATCAAATCCCATGTCGGGCTCCCGGTGCATGGAGCCTGCTTCTCCCTCTGCCTGTGTCTCTGCCCCCCCCCCCTGACTATCATAAATAAATAAAAATTAAAAAAAAAAAAAGAAGCTTTCGGGGAGCCTCCTCAGGAGCCATTTAGGGTGGAAGGTTCAGGGAGGGGACAAGATCTCCGTCTGGGTTTACTGCATAGATTTTCTGGGTGGTGGGGTGGATTCCAAGGCTTAAAAAAAAGCACCCTAAGACTTCAGATCTGAGGTACCTGCCCCTCACTTGACAGCTGAGAAAACAGCCTTGTTAGGGAGGTGGCCGCGAGTTCCCTAAAGTGATCACACAGCGGCTTCCTGACACGAGAGCAGCACTGTAGCTTTAAGAAGCAGCAGAGAGATGCATGAACAAGGAGGTCACCAGCGCTGTGGGCCTCTGTCCCAGGAAGAGCTAATTGGGGGACTGAGAGCTTCCTTCTCATGTGCCTTCCCAACTGCCCGGTACATCGATGGTCCAGCGGGTCCTCCTGGCCGGGCCTAGCCCGGGAGTGCAAGGGGCAATGTTCACATCACAGTGCTTTTACCGTGTCCAAGGCACATCGTCTTGATTTAATCTGCAAAGTTGAAAATGCTTTGATTTGCCGAATCCCCGGGGCGGCTAGGGGGTGATGGGGGCCCAGGGAAACAGGACAAGGCAGGAAGCAACAGCTTCCCGCCCCACAGATGCCTGTCCTTTGCTGTGACGCCAAAGCCTTGCGGCCTTGTGGGGTATTCCACTGCTGCCCGCAGGAACAGGGGGCCAGGCCCCTCACACCTGGGCCCACTGTAGCCTCACGTCCTCCCCCCACGTCCCTCCCGCCGGGGCCACCCTGGCCACACTCCGGGTGTACACACCACGTGGTCTCCCGGGCCTTGGCCGCTCTCTCTTTGGGAGCTTCTGCTTATCCTTCAAAGCCTGGCTCAAGCAGGCCCTCTGTGGAGCCTTTCCTTCCCTCCTTTTGCCTGGAGCTGTGGGGGACCTGCCAGTTCTGATTCTGTTCCCAGTCCCCCCTCAGCACAGCCCCCCACCCTCACCCTGCACAAAGGTGAGCACCCTGCTACAGGGGGTGAATGGACAAGAGGAGTGAAGTCCTGGAGGTTGAAACCCTTTAATCCTACCCTCACCCTCCACAGGAGGAGCTCTTAGGCCATCCTATTTCCAGGGGTAGAAATACTCCTCCCCACCCTTGCCTGACACTCTAGGCCCTTGGAACCTGGATCTGGCTACTTACCCCCTGCTAGCCTCTCTTGGCTCTGACATCTGCCTGCCTGTCCAGGACCTGTCCCCACTGCCCAGGGCTGGCTTATTCGGGCCGCTGCTGGCCATCTCTGGGGATTTCTGTATCCCTGCCCATCAAGCCCCCTGCCATCTATGTAGCCGAGGGGACACAGCCACAGATGCTCGCTTTTAACATCGAATGACTGATGCCTTGGCATCCTGACTGTGGAATCTTCTGGTGAATGAATCACACACATGTGTACATCTGCTTGTCTGTGATCCCGCAGACGTGGCTGCCCTGCCTTCCTGGGGGTTTTGGTTCTCAAGGCTCCTGGCTTTTGTAAACAATGGACTGCCCAGGACCACTGAGCACCTGTGGCCCTAACTACACGGTGCTGGCCTGTCCCACAGCTTTACCCTTGACTAAGGAGAGAGACCACAATCCGATGCCCTTGGAATTCACCCGACTGTGCAGAGATCGTGTTCTCTAGGAAGGAGTAGCTTTCTAGAACACCGCAAAGGCCAATGGCTGCGTCAGCTGAGCCAGGCCGTGTGCTGCCCCACAGAGTACAGTAGACTCTACGTCAACAATCAGCGTAGACTTCTTGGTCATCTGGAGCCAGAGTCTGTATGAAAAGGCAGAGGTACGTGTGGTTGTACCTGATGACTTTTTCCAGGAGTTTGCTTCCTGCCTCCACCATTGTAGGCCCTACAGACCAGGAGGTTTCAGTGGCTTGGGGGAAATGTCTCTAAGGACAGGACACCCCCATGATTCCATTGCATTTCAAAGGAGGTCCCAGTGTAAGCTGGGTTGATAAGGGCTCCGTGGGGAAGCAGAGTGGCTACCCTGGAATGAGGGCTGAGAGGTCTATGAGAGGGACCCACGGGGCACCCCCTTGAGCACCGTGTGCTCTTGTGTTACTCAGGATTCTTTGATTGCCAAGTGAAGGAAATTCCACTCAAGTTAGGCTTGGCAAAAGAGGGACCTTATGGGAATATATAGAAAGGCCTCAGGAAGCAGGGACCGGAACATCACCAGGACTTCCACCTTTTGTCTCCACTTCCGTGTGCAAGCATCATTTTCTCCTACTGCCCACTGACTCCCACGCAGGGACTGTGATTGCTGCAGCCCTGCCCTCATGTTTTCCCCGCTTCTTCTTCCTTTTATTTCAGAAAGTCCCAGAGAGGGACACTAACCCACCTGGAGTGGGAGTCCCATCCCTGGGCTCATCAGGCTTCCATTGGAGCCACACGGTTAGATCTGGGAGAGATGGAGTCCACGGGAGAGGCCAGGGGGAGTGGCTCTGGGCCCACGGAACAACTATCTACCTGACACAGCTGTATGGTGCGGGAAGACCCACATGACTCCAGACCGCCGAGGCCCAGAGTGGCTTTAGGAGCGAGGACCCCTTGGTCACCTGGCTAAAGGCAAGGGGAGCTTGCAGTGAGTGAGGGAAAAAACAAGACTAGTTAGGCTTCAGCACCTAATGTAGAAATGCGGCTGAGGTCTGAAAAATAGCAAACGATGGAGGGGCGGTGGGGGGGGAGTCATAGAGATGAGGGAAAGACAAGAGTATTTTAAAAGGTATTAGGATTCAAAGATGAATCTATATTAGTTTTATTTTGTTTTTAATGGGGGAGGACATGAAGGAAGTGTAGCCAGTTGCTTGCTTTGCTCGGTAAAGTGGGGTATGGAAGGGACCCCCTAGAATCTCATGTGGATGCCCAGAGGCCGAAATGTGTCCCAGGACTTATTTTGAGGAGCTGGAACTTCCCCAACACCTGCTAGTGCTTTCTCATCATTAGAGTCAGCACCGACTCCATCCAGCTCCACCCTCTCGGATTGGAAACCAGGTCCCAACCCTTCCCGTGGCCTCCTAGGATGAGGGGAGTGAGGGGGTGCAGGCCTTAGCAGGTGGAAGCCGGGAAGAGCTCAGGGCACAGAGCCTGCTTCTCCCTCTGCCTGTGTCTCTGCCTCTCTTTCTCTGTGTCTCTCATGAATAAATAAGTAAAATGTTAAAAAAAAAAAATCCAACTTAAAAAATTAAAAAAAAAAAAAAAAAAGGAAGGAGGTCCAGGAGGCCCAAGCTGCGGCCCAGGAGGTCAGAGGGGTCTATCTGGAGAGGGCTGCGCACGTGGGGAGGGGACGAGAGGTCGAGGCAGAGGGAACGGGGCGCGCACCTGCCGCCCGCCCGAGCTGCGCCTCGGTGTACCGGGTCTGACCGGCTTTGCGGGGAGGCTGCTGACGTGACCCCATCGTCCTTTTGAAAGATGTCCCTGTATCTGCGGTGACGCCAGCGACGGAGGGACCCGGGGGCGCAGTCAGCCCATATGCATCACCGCGCGGGAGGCCTGGCCCGGCTGCGGCGGCGCGGGAGTGGGTTCCGGGGCGCGGGCTGCTCGGCCGAACCCCGAACCCCGAACCGCCCACGTGGGCCGAGCCGCCCCGCCCCGCCGCGCTGACGCCGCCGCCCCCCGCCCCCCCGCCTCCCGAGTCCCGGCCTGGGCCGCCGCCGCGCCGCCCCGGAGCCCCGCACCCCGCGTCCGGCCCCGCGGGCCCCCAGGTCCGACCCCGGACCCCCGCCCCCCGCCGCGCCCCCAGCCCCGAGGGACGAGCTCCGCCGCCCGGCCCGGGAGCACAGCCAGCAGCGCCGGCCGCTCGTCCAGGCGGTGAGTCTGGGGGAGGGGAGGGGAGACTGGGGGCCCAGCCCCGGGGTGGGGGGAAAGGGGATGCAGGGAGTGGGGGAGAGGAGGGATGGAGAGGGAGTGGGAGGAGGAGGAGGGGAGGAGGGAGGAGGGGAGGGCGGGGGCGGGGAGGGGAGGCTGGGGACCCAGCCCCGGGGTGGGGAGGGAGAGGGCGGGGAGGGGAGGCTGGGGGTCCAGCCCCAGGGTGGGGGGGTCAGGGAGGGAAGGGGAGGCTGGGGGTCCAGCCCCAGGGTGGGGAGGGAGACGGCGGGGAGGGGAGGCTGGGGCCCAGCTGCAGGAGGGGGGATAGGGGAGGGAGGGAGAGGGAGGGGGTAAGAGGGGCGGGGAGGGGAGGCTGGGGGCCCAGCCCCAGGGGGCGGTGTCGCAGCCTCCACCAGGCTGCCTCCCGCGGGAAGCTTCGGGAAGGGTGGTCTCTGTCCTCAGACTCCCGGAGAGGCCCTCTCCCGCAGGGCGAGGCAGGAAGGGAGGCCCCCCCAGCCCAGCGCCTGTCCCCCCACCCCTATCTCCCCCCCACACTCGCCTACTGGCAGATTAGCTTGGAGGGAAGCCTGATCCTGGGGTGTCTGGGTTCCCATCTTGCCATCTCTGAGAACTCCGGGAGCCTTAGCACCGCAGCCACCGCCTCTCAGCCTCCCCCGTGGTCCTGCCCAGCCCAGGAAAAGAGAAAACCTTGGGGCGGGGAAGATCTCCAAGACTGCTGGGAGCAGGGGCTAGGTCACAGGCACCATCCTACACCCCCGGGGTGTAAGGAGGGCCCTGCCACCCACACAGACCTCCTCGTACCCTCTGTACTTACACTGGCCCTCATTCTCACTCATCCTTTTTTTTTTTAATTTTTTATTTATTCATTGTTAGAGAGAGAGGTAGAAACACAGGCAGAGGTTAGAAGCAGGCTCCACGCAGCCTGACGTGGGACTCCACCCCGGGTCTCCAGGGTCAGGCCCTGGGCTGCCCATCATCCTCTAGCTTTCTAATCCTCACCAATTCAGCCAATTCGCGGTGGACAGAAACCTCTTGTCAATTGAAACCCTAATTTTGGTAAAAGTGGTTATTGGGGAGGAAAGAGTGGGGTGATAGGCCCTCCCTCTGGGGCCTTGGGATGGGGCGAGCTGGAGGGGTCACAAGATAGTACAGGTGGAGGGACGTGCACAAGGTCAGGAGAGAGGCTTTTGGCAATGGGGGTGGGGGCTGGAGACTCCTGCTCAGCTGGCTCCCTCTTCTGGCTGCAGTCCTCCTCCCCCATTGAGTCCCTCTGCAGCTGTGCGAGGACACCTGCTTGGTACCCCTTCTCTGGCTCCCGGGACAATGGCACATAGAAGAACCCATGTGTCCGGGGGCCTCGCGCTCGGGCTGCTAGCTCCAGATTGTCCAAAACTGAGACAACTAAATAGAGGCAGTTAACTGACCATCAACGATGTTCCAGGGACACGAAACCAAGCCCTGTGTTCGGGTGCAGCGGGGACCCCCTGGGGAGGGGGGGGAGCTGGCTAACTGGGCTTGTCTCTGTTTGCTGGAGCGGTGGGGGAGGCTGACCCTGCAGCCTGGAGAGGGGCGGGGAGGAGGGCCAGGCTTTCAGGTGCAGAAAGGAATTTGCTGGGTGGACAAGGGAAGAGCTTACAGGGGAAGGGAAGGGTGGGGTACCAGAGGCCAGGGAATCCTGCGAAGCGGATGACGGCCTATTCGGATGACGGCCTATTCGGAGCAGTCTGGGTGGTGAGGGGGGCAGAGTGGAAGGGGCTGGTCTGGAGGGGTGAGCAAGGGCCTAGAAGCGCAGCCCGTAGGCCACCTGGACGGTTAGCAGTTTAGAGAGTGCGCTCGGAGCTACGACAAACCACGTTTACATTTTTCACTGGAGGCAGAGAAATCAGTGAAAAGGCTGTGGCAGCCAGTAGGTCCGGGTAAGAAATGGCCTGAACCAAGAGAAAGTGAGGGTTGACCTCTGCGAACACATACAATTTTTTATTTTTGTTTATTTTATTTAAATTGTTTGCCAACATAAAGTATAACACCCAGTGCTCATCCCATCAAGTGCCTGTCACCCAGTGACCCCATGCCCCCACACCTCCCCTTCCGCACCCCTTTGTGTGTTTCCCAGGGTCAGGAGTCTCTCTCATGGCTTGTCTCCCTCCCTAAATCTTCCCCACTCAGTCTCCTCCCCTTCCCTTATGGTCCCTGCATACAAGTGAAACCATATGATGATTGTCTTTCTCCGGTTGACTTATGTCACTTAGCACAACATCCTCCAGTTCCATCCACGTCGATGTAAATGGCGGGTATTCATCCTTTCTGATGGCTAAGCCATATTCCGTCGTCTGCATACCGCGTCTTCTTTAGCCATCGTCTGTTGATGGACATCGTGGCTCCTCCCACAATGTGGCTACTGTGGACATTGCTGCTATAAACATCGGGCTGCAGGTGTCCCTTAGTTTCACTACATCACTATCTTTGGTGTAAATCCCCAGCAGTGCAATTGCTGGGTTGTAGGGTGGCTCTATTTGTAACTTCTTGAGGACCCTCCACATAGTTTTCCAGAGTGGCTGCACCAGTTCCATTCCCACCAACAGAGCAAGAGGGTCCCCCCTTCTCCACATCCTCTCCAACATTTGTGGTTTCCTGTCTTGTTCATTCTAGCCATTCTCACCGGTGTGAGGTGGGATCTCGTTGTGGTTTTGATGTGTATTTCCCTGATGCCAAGCCACATGGAGCATTTTGTCATGTGCATGTTGGCCATGACACACAGGTTTTTAGAGGAAGAATTGTCAGCATTTGGTGGCCAGTGAGATGGGGGAAGGCAGCTGAGTGAGGAGCCCAGGATGCACATAGGTTTCTGGCTAGGGTGACTGAATGGAGGGTGGGCCATTTTGCTGAGGACACTGGAGAGGGAGAGCTGGTTGGGACACGCAGAATTTGGGGAGCCTGTGGTTGGTTGCAGAGTCGGATAGCAGTTGGATCGGGGCTTAGAGACACATCTGAGAGTCGCCAACACCTGATGGTCCTTAAAGCTCTAGCAGAAGATGAGGTCCTGGGCAGACAACCTGCCTCAGGGGGCTGAGAAGAGCCTCTACTGGAGATGGAGCCAACAGAGAGAGGGGAGGGGAGGAGAGCCACAAGGGCAGGTGTTGTCAGAGGGAAAGGGACTGAAGTGGAGCCTCTGGCCCCCACCTGCGGCCTTGCCCCTGCACCCCGGCAGCTAGGTTGCCACGACTTGGGGCACCCCATTCGCCACCCCCGACCCCGTCCTACTCTAACTCATTCTCCTGCTTCCCCTTTGCAGACCAGATGTTTGCCATCCGGCCAGGGGTAGCCGAGGGGGCCCAGTTCCTCGGGGCCCCGCCTGGAGGATGTCAGCCTGAGCTCCAGCCAGACAGCAACTCGAACTTCTTGGCGAGTGCCAAAGACGCCAATGAGAATTGGCATGGGATGCCAGGCCAAGGGGAGCCCGTGCTGATGAGGAGCTCTTCCGAGCTGCCCTCTGACAACCAGGCCTTCCAGGCCCCTGGACTCGCCGAGGGGGAGGTGCGCAGCCCACCAGAGGGGGCGGAGATCCCCAGGGCCGAGCTCGAGAAGATGAGTGGGGCCAGCACCGTCTGCTCCCCCCTGGAGGACAACGGCTACGCCAGCAGCTCCCTGAGCACCGGCAGCCGTGGCAGCAGTCCTGAGCCCGCCTGCGGCACCCCTCAGGACCCGGGCCCTCAGGATCCCCTTCTGCCCTCCGTGGCCCAGGCGGTGCGGCTGCTGCAGGCTCAGGAGCGCTACAAAGAGCAGGAGAAGGAGAAGCACCATGTGCACTTGGTGATGTACCGTCGCCTGGCCCTGCTGCAGTGGATCCGTGGCCTGCAGCACCAGCTGGTTGACCAGCAGACCCGTCTGCAAGAGAGCTTTGACACCATCCTAGACAACCGGAAGGAGCTCATCCGCTGCCTCCAACAGAGGGCGGCCCCATCCAGGCCCCAGGATCAGGGCTAAGGGTGTGCCTCCACAGGGGGGCAGGGGTACATGGATATATTTGCAGGCATGTGTGGGGTTGCGCACAAGTAAGTACATGATCCTTGGCTGGCATGAGTGCAGGTAAGCAAAAGTGAGGATGTATGTGCTAATGTGCAGGCAGGCCTGTGTGAATCAGCACCTGTGTACCGTGTGTCCACAAAGCCAGCTTAGGTGCAGGCCTACTTGTGAATGCATACACATGTGTGTACAGCACATGTGTAGGAAGGTGTGAGTGTGTATACGTAGGCGTGAACAGGTATGCGTGTGCATATGTGTACATGAGCGAGGATATATATGCAAAAGGTGTGTGTACAGATGAGTGAGTTTGAGTGTGTGGGCTTGTGGTGGGTGTATGTGAAAGTGCCTTTGCGTGTGCAGGGCCAGGCCCAGGAAGTGTATAGTTGGAGCACGTGTGTTTGCAGGCCAACTCCTAAGCAGGTGTCTACAGATTCGTACTCAGTTGCTTCTCTGGGGCCTCCCCACCCTGTGTTTCCCATCGCCAACCCCAGCCTTCTTTTCTCCACAGGGTCCCATCGGTCCAGAGGAGGGGCGCCTGCAGTCATGTGCAGGTGTGGATGACCCAGGCCCCTGAGGTTTCCCAGGCCACCCCCTGCTCTCTCCCCCTGACTTCGCTCTACTAGGGCCATTGTCCCCCGATGGTAGAGTCGCTGTGGGAGGTGTGGGGGCTGCTCCGGCCTGCCACGGCTTTTTGGCCACAGTTTTGGCAACTGGTAGAGACTTAGGATGAGGGAGGGGTGCTGGGGGTGGTGATGGCCACTGAGGCAGGGACGGGGGGGATGGGGATCAGAGAAGATGAAGGACTGTCCCCCTTGGACTCTGCCTCAGGGCACGGGGGAGTTGGGGGGGGAGATGGGGAGGGGAGATGACAGCCACAGACCCTGTGAGGACTAGGAGAATGCGGATTCTAAACTACCACCTGGAGACAAACCAGCTTCTCCATGTTCTCCACGTCCAAGGAGCTGTTGCAGGTCATATCGATTGAAGCTTCTGATGAGAGCGAATGTGCTGACGTGCCTGTGAGGGCCGGACAAGGGGTTCCAAGACTGCCGGGGAAGGAAAGCTCCCTTTCGTCTCTGTGCCTCTACTTGCTGTCCCCCTCCAGCTTTAGCGACGCGGGAGGTCAGATTCCGTTGGCCTGTTTTCCTGCGGTCGGGCTGCCTGGGCCCAGAGGAGCCGTGGTCGGCCTTCCAGGGCGCGCAGGGGTGCCGGCATCAGCGCAGCCCCTGGAAACTCTCAGGATACTGGGTCATCACCCTTCGGTCACTGCATGGCCCTTTCAGCGGGGGTTGACAGGCTCCCATGAAATGGAGAGTGGGTGAATTCTGGGGACAACCAAGGACTAAAGCAGCCGGGGCCTCTGCTTTGCTTTTGGGAGCCATGAGGATGCAGGATCCTGGTGGATGAGCAGAAGCATGATGCTGAGTCTCCCTGTCTGCAAAATGTGGGTACTCTTCTTGCCTCTCAGGAGTTCTATCCCTGACAGGTGTGAGGGGGTGAAGGGTATTGGGACTGAGGCTGAAGCAATGGTCCTAGGGACTTCTGTGTCTCACCCTTGCATGTTGTGTATGAACCTGGTCTCTGGGCCAAACCAGGATCAATAAACTGGGGCAGCAAAATGCATTTCTTGAGTTTGTGTCTCTGTTGCACCCAGTGTGTGGTGGCCCCTTTTCGATACCATCTGAATTGCACTTATGAGCAGGGTTCTGGGCTGGGAGTGAGGAGACCGATGGAGGGGGAGTCACCGGGGAGGAGGAATCCAGCCTGCTGTGGCTGATGGGGGTGGCAAAGAGTTTCTCCTCAGAGACCTCTCAGTCTGACGGGGGAGACTTGGCCTCAGCCTGACAGCACCTTACGGGATTACCCTTGTCCTAAGGCACCTTTGGGCCTGAAGATAGGGGGCGGTAGGCATCGATGGTGAGGGATTCATATGCTCCCTCCCTCCCCACCACAATCCTACTCAACCCTGCCCTAGAGCCACCACTTCCTGAAGGGTGCCCTGACTGCAAAAGACTGAGTTAGGGTCCTCAGATGGTTCTGACAGATGGGGTTAGGTACATGCGTATGATTTCCGAGACTCACTGTGCCAATCTAGACCTGACCTTCTGTCTTACATTGGTTTGTATGATGATTTATTAATTAGCTTCTCAAAAATTCATCTGTATAAAGTATCTCTTGCTGCATAACAAATTACCCCATAACTTAGGGACATAAAATAATACACATTTGTTATCTCACAATTTCTGTAGGAATCTCTCATAAGGCTGCAGCCAAAGTGTCAGCCTAGGGTCTGGGGTCTTATTTGTTGGAGCATTCAGTTCTCCAAGGGAAGTCACTTTCAGTTCCTTGCCACATGGGTTCTTCCAATATAGCAGCTCGCCCACCAAAGCGTGCAAGTCAAGAAGGTGATGGAGCAACAGCAAGCAGAGGTCAGGATTTTCTGCAACCTACTCATGGAAGGGATGACCTCTCAATGTCGTCATATTCTATTGGTTAAAAGCAAGATACTCAAGGGGTGGCTGGGTGGCTCAGTTGGTTAAGCATCCAACTCGGGATTTCAGCTCAGGTCATGAGCTCATGGGTCATGGAATGGGGCCCCACGTGGGTACCGTGCTCAGCAGGGAGTCTACTTGAAATTCTCTCGCTCGGGCCCTCCTCCCTCACACTCACCCACGTTTGTTCACATGATCTTGCTCTCTCTCTCTCTCTCTCTCTCTCTCTCAGATAATTAAATAATTTTTTTTTTAAAAAAAGCAAGTTACTCAAAGGGATTACAGTCTATAAGGCTGTAATCGCCAGGAGGCAATTACTGAGGCTGCCTACCACAGAAGGCATTTTTTAAAAAAATTTATTTATGATAGTCACACACAGAGAGAGAGAGAGGCAGAGACACAGGCAGAGGGAGAAGCAGGCTCCATGCACCGGGAGCCTGATGTGGGATTCGATCCTGGGTCTTCAGGATCGCACCCTGGGCCAAAGGCAGGCACCAAACCGCTGCGCCACCCAAGGATCCCATGAAGGCATTTTTTGATTGATTAAATAGAGGCACATTTTATTGCTTTTTAATTACACAAATAAAAATTATGTTCTACTTATGTAAACTGAAACATTTCAGAGAAATCTAATGTTCCCCTATACTTCTCCCCAACAAGATACATGTATTTTAAACCTCACAAAGAAAAATAAATAAATAAATAAATAAATAAATAAATAAATAAACCTCACAAAGTGTACTTTTCACTGAAACAATGACTCGAGGTATTTTTTGTTGTTGTTGTTGTTCTTAAAGATTTTATTTATCCATTTGAGAGAGAGAGTAGGAGGGAAAGGGAGAGAGAATATTAGACAAATTCCATTCCGAGTGCAGAGCCTGATGGGGGCTTGGTCCCAGGACCCTGAGATTATGACCTGAGCTGAAATCAAGAGTTGGCCGACCGACAGAATGAGTCACCCAGGAGCCCCAAGGTATTAATAACTCTTAATAATTCTTGTCACCTTGACATTTGCCATTTAAACAAAATTATTGAACCAATTTTAACAAATCTCACTTATTGAGGGATGTTGTTCCAGCAGAGAGCTATAGCTAAATTCAAATAACTGAAAAAAATTTTTTTTAAGATTTTATTTATTTATTCATGAGAGACACAGAGAGAGAGGCAGAGACACAGGCAGAGAGAGAAGCAGGCTCCCCACAGGAAGCCCAATGTGGGACTTGATCCCAGGACCCCAGGATCACTCCCTGAGCCAAAAGCAGACGCTTAACCACTGAGGCACCCAGCCATCCAGAAATAATTGAAAATTAATTAAAGGAAACCTTGGGGATTCCTGGATGGTTCAGTGGTTTAGTGCCTGCCTTCAGCCCAGGGCGTGATCCTGGAGTCCCGAAATCTAGTCCCACATCCGGCTTCCTGCATGGAGGCCTGCTTCTCTCTCTGCCTGTGTTTCTGCGTTTTTCTCTGAGTGTCTCTCATGAATAAATAAATAAATAAAATATTTAAAAAAATAAAAATAAGGGAAACCTCATTTAAACTGTTGGACGGTGAGGATCCCTGGGTGGCTCAGCGGTTTAGTGCCTGCCTTTGGCCCAGGATGTAATCCTGGAGTCCCATGTCAGGCTCCCTGCATGGAGCCTGCTTCTCTGCTTCTCCCTCTGCCTGTGTCTCTGCCTCTCTCTCTCTCTCATGAATAAATAAATAAGTAAAATCTTTAAAAAAATAAAAATAAAAATAAAGGAAACCTCATTTAAACTGTAGGAGGGCGGGGATCCCTGGGTGGCTCAGCGGTTTAGCACCTGCCTTTGGCCCAGGATGTGATCCTGGAGTCCCATGTCGGGCTCCCTGCGTGGAGCCTGCTTCTCTGCTTCTCTCTCATGAATAAATAAATAAAATATTAAATAAATAAATAAATAGATAGATAAATAAATAAATAAATAAATAAATAAATAAATAAAATGGAGGAGGGAGGCCAGAAGGGGGAGCTCCCCCCATCTCTCCTAGTCCATTCCATCACCAACAGGAAGGATCTACCGGGGCTTTCCCAACAGGAAGAAGCCTATACTTTGCTGCCCAAGCAGAAGGAAGAAAGGTTTTCTCCTTGCCTGGCAACAGCCCAGCCAGTGAGAGACTGTCACTGCTCACCCAGTGGCCGCCACTGCACTTCAACCTTCAGAGTGAGGCCAATGGATTGTTTGTTTCTAACAGGTCTTGACCCAACTCCCCCCTTTCCTCTATAAAGGAGCATTCTTCTCCTTGGGTCTCCGAACTTGTCTACGGTTTGCTGAAGCTTGTTTATTCTGAATGGCAATTCTTTGCTGTTGTCAAATAGGCCCATCTTTCTGGGGAAAATAACTGACAGTTTTATTTTTAAGGTTAACAACTTTAACCGTGGAGATTCTAAACAAGGAGACAGCGTCAAGCTCTCAGAGCACAAGATAGTGAATTTCTAGAAGGGGGTCTTTCTTCAATGTATGAAGGCTCTTCATGAGCACAGGCAGGGGTTAAGAGCACAGGCCCTGGATTTGGATGCTGGCACCGTTGCTTTCTGTCTCTGTGACCCTGGGCAAGTGAATTAACTTCTCTGTGCCTCAGTTTCCTCATCTTAAAATGGGGACAATAGTAGCAGCTACCTCATTGGGTTGCTGCAAGGATTAAATGAATATATAATATGCAAAACACTCAGAACTCTACTTGGCACATAGTAAACCGCATTAATGAGAGTTGTTATAAATAGTGCTTTTGTGATGCACACTTAAATGTTTCTTTTACAGAAATCAAATTTTTCCTTATGGAGTTGGAGTCTAAAATTTGAAAGGCATCTTTAAAAAAATAAAGGCTTTTTTAAAAATAAAGCTGCCTAGTATTCCTTTCCATAAAAAAGCTGTCTGAACCAAGAAAAAGATAAAGCCAGACCAAGGAACCAGTGTGGTGAATTGTATGGGGCCCCTGTCGGTCCAGCCCCTGGTGTGGGGGGGAAGTGAGAGGAGAAAATGGACCGAGAGCAGGGAGTTAGAGCCGCAGCCAGGCCAGCAGAGTGTGGGGCAGAGAAACTGAGGCAGGACCCCAGTGGATGCCATCATCCAGCAGGTAGGCTGGAGGCCCGATGGCGGGAAGTGCTGGCGCCTCTGCTCTACTTCTGGTGTGGGGCAGACAGGGTCCAGAGGCCTTCTAGGCTGCCTCGGACTCTTCACAGTGCCAACTGTAATGAGGAAATGAACCTGGAGGTGCTTCGTGGGCATTAGAAGACACCAGGGCCTGTGGAG